GTATTGCTGAGATTATGACGACACTACTGTCTAGTGGCTGTGTTTGCGTGCCTTCTGAGGCCGATAGACACGGTAGTCTGTCCAGGTTATACGTGCTATGAATGTTAACTGGGCAGTGCTTACACCGTCTGTCGCAAGGCTCCTAGAACCAACCGAGGTACCTTTCTCTAAACGTTGTAATACTAGCTGGCGAACATGTTACTTTGGCAGATTGGCAGAGATGGGCTAGTTATGTCCAAGTGATAGATGCATACGGACCTACAGAATGCTGCATCTGCTGTACAGTATACACAGATGCTCAGTCATTCAAGTCAGGAACAATCGGAAAGCCAGTTAGTTCGGTATGCTGGGTGGTAGACCCTGACGACTACAATCAGCTTGTCCCGCTAGGCTTAGTTGGAGAGCTGCTAGTAGAGGGCCCGATCCTTGCGCGCGGCTATCTTAACGACGCTGAGAAGACGCAGTCAGCTTTTATCAATGATCCTGCCTGGCTGCTTGCAGGCGGCGGAGGCTACCATGGGCGACGCGGTAGGCTGTATAAGACGGGCGACCTTGTCCGCTACGACCGTGACGGCAACCTTGTCTACGTGGGCCGCAAAGACAACCAAGTCAAGGTGCGCGGGCAGCGGGTGGAGTTAGGCGAGGTGGAGCACCACCTGCGGGAGTTCATGGCGGAGACGCAGCAGCTGGCGGTAGAAGTGATCGCGCCAGGAGGGGAGAAAGAGAATGCAGCGCTGGCGGCCTTCCTGCAGCTGGACGACAAAAGTAAGGAAGATGACGGAGCGCAAGACGCACCAGCAGCGAGCAAGCCAGGCGAGCCCGAGATGCTAGTACGGGTAACGTTTCCACGAGAGGTGGAGGAGCAGATGCTCAAAAGGCTGCCTGGACACATGGTGCCAAGCATATACTTTGTCGTTGCAAAGCTGCCCATGACAGTGTCTGGCAAGAAGGACAGGAAGCGGCTGCGCGAGATCGGCGCCTCGTTCTCCGCCCAGCAGCTAGCAGAGCTGCGGACGGCGAGCGAGGGCGCCAAGCGAGCGCCAACTACAGAAGCAGAGCAAACGATGCAGAAGCTGTGGGCGGGGGTGCTGGGCGTCGCAGCAGACAGCATCGGGCTGGATGATAGCTTCTTCCGCCTGGGCGGCGACTCGATCGCGGCGATGAAGCTGGTGGGCGAGGCGCGCAGGCACGGCGTGCAGCTGTCCGTTGCAGACCTCTTCCGCCATCCCACGCTCGCCCAGATATCTCTAGCCGGTCTAGCCTCCCCCGAAAGCTCACCACAGCCAGTTCCACCGTTCTCCCTTCTCCCACTCACCATCAAGGATAGCATTCTCTGCCAAAGCGTCCTTTCCAAGAGCTCTATTCAACAGCAACACGTGACCGACATCTTGCCCACGACCCATGTGCAACGCCTCTTTGTCAATTGGGGTATCGAGTCGCCCCGTGAAGCTTTCAACTACTTCTTCCTCGATATCGGACCGCAGCTGGATGCACAGCTACTCCACGACAGCTGTGGTAAACTTGTCGACCACTTTCCAATCCTCCGCTCGCAGTTCGTCTCCTTTCGCGAGAAGCTTTGGCAGGTTATTCTGCTACGCCCTCAACTACATTTTACCACGTTTGAAGTCAACGGATCTTTGTCTGAGGCCACGCGCAAGATCTGTCTAGAAGACATTCACAAGACTGATCCGCTCGCGCTTCCGACTTCGTTCACGCTGTTGCGAGATAAGTCGGTCGGCCATCGCCTGATCGTTCGTCTTTCGCATGCTCAGTACGACGGTGTGTGCGCTCCCGTCATCCTCAACACCCTAGCCGCGCTATACGCGCAAGAGACTCCGCCCATCCCTCCAAGCTTCTCGACCTATTTAGCACACGCCCGTACTCAGCGCGAAGCGTCGGCGCGCTACTGGCGAGAACTTTTGAAAGGCTCGTGCATGACCAGGGCGACTGCACGTCTTCGTCCAAAGGCAGGTGGGCTGCCTGCCCTTGACAATATCAAGGTTGAAAGGGTAATTCGCACCCCTCGACTTCCCCACAACGTTACTATGGCCTCACTGCTCAGCTCGGCTTGGGCGCTGGTCCTCTCGAGCATCACAGGCGAAGAAGATGTCGTCTACGGACACACGGTTGCCGGCCGCAACTCCGACATCCCAGGCATCACTGAGATCGTTGGGCCTTGCTTGAACGTTGTACCAGTCAGGGTCCGCATACAGCTAGCGAAGACACCGGCAGATCTCATCCGCTACGTCCACGAACAGCATGCATCGCTTGGACAGGCGGACTCGGCGCAGCTAGACGAGATCGTCCGCGAATGCACGGACTGGCCTGCTGGATCGGAGTTTGACTCGGTAGTGCAGCATCAGAACATTGACGAGCACCCTGGCGTCTGCTTTGCGGGGGCGACGACGAAGGTTCAATGGTTCGACAACCCTTTCTGGATAGCGCGGCAGCTGTACTTCTTCTCGCTCCCACAAGCCGACCAGCTGAAGCTTACAGTCAGCGGCAATACGCACATCCTAACAGCGGAGGCGGCACACTCTATACTTGACATACTCGCTGCAACAATAGTAGAGCTGTCGCAGAACATGGACGAGCCGCTTACTTTGTCCAAATTTCCCTTTCCTTTTTGTCCTTGAACTCTTTAGCGATAGCGGGTTAAACGAGAAACGAAAGTAAGAAACGAAAACGAGAAAAGAAAATAAGAATAGGAAAGGACAAAAGATTGAAAAAAAAAGAAGAGATTACTAGCTACTTGCTCCTCTTAGTACTGTTCCCTATTTCGTTTGTTCACTAAGATTTCCAAGAAGAGAGAAGATAAAATATGTATTTTCTAGGGTTTTTTATAGTTAATAGATAACGTGCTTTACAAGCGAGTCGACCGTACAAGCGAGGCGCCCACCCCGCCAACTTTGATCACCTGTAGAGCTATATAACTCAACAACGTTATAATATAATAGGGAAAGAGAAAAATAATTCGAATATATACTATCTAAAGTATCTTTCTTACATGTACGCGAATTATGGCCAGTCTCTCTACACCTACTACACCGCGCCAGAGCCTGGCGGCTAACACCTGATCGCTCCCCTCCTTGACGCTCCTCATAAGCAATTTGCTCATCAGCCTCGCGTTGAGCAATTATATCCTCGCCGACTCCCTTTGTAAGAGCTCCACGCTTCTGTATCCGCTTCTTCTTACGTTTCCTACGCTCTGATACTGCTATATTAGCTC